TGTTATCGAAATGGAATTGGAGTTGAAAAGGATGAACATAAGGCATTCATTTATTATCAAAAATCTGCAGAGATGGGAGTTTCTAGCGGAATAGGTCAAGTTGGATATTGCTATTGTCGTGGAATTGGGGTTGAAAAGGATGAACATAAAGCGTTCAAATGGTATATGAAATCCGCAAAGATGGGTAATGCCAATGGAATACATAATCTATATTTATGTTATCTATTTGGAACTGGAGTAGCTAGAGACTTACAACTAGCTAATCATTGGTATCGAATGTAAGTGGTATTTAAATAAATATGTTTATATATAGCACAAGATTACTAAATTATATGAATAGGGAAGGAAATAAATTTACGCTAAATGATTTTAATGATGATTTAAAAGAAATATTGAACGATGAAAAATATCATCAATTATTATGGATTCCATACGATGAATTCAAAAATGTCAATGAAATTGGTAAAGGTGGATTTTCAACGGTATATTGTGCAGATTGGTCCCGCTATTTTTTCATAAAGTCAAAAATTGTCCTTAAATTGTTACATAAAACAAATTATGATGAATTTATAAATGAGGTAATCTTATTATTATTTCAACTATACAATCCTATTCAATTCTATTCAATCATTACTAATTAATTTAATTAGTTGAAAGCATATAGTAAAATCGGATACGAAAATCCATCATTTCTGAAATGTCATGGGATAACACAACGACCGGACACCAAAGAATTTATTCTTGTCTTAAAATATGCATCAAAGGGATCTTTACGAAATAATCTTCAAGATGTATCTCGAATGAAATGGAAATATAAGTTAAAACTATTATATTATATTAGTTCTAACCTTGATGCAATTCATTCTCAAGGATATATTCATAAAGATTTGCACAGTGGAAATATTTTACTAGATGACTTACGCAACGCGTATATCTCTGATCTAGGACTATCAAATTCGAATTCTAAACCAAAAAAAGACGGAGTTGTCGGAGTTCTGCCTTATATTGCCCCAGAAATTCTGATTGGTCAACCATATACTAAAACATCAGATATTTATTCATTTGGAATAATAATGTGGGAAATCTTATATGGAATGCCTGCATCATATGGTCATAAGCTCACTGAACGGCAGCTTCAATTAAAAATATCTTTTGATGATTTACGACCACCAGTTAACGAGGAAGCTCCAAGATGTTATGTAAATCTGATGAATGAATGTTGGGAAAAAGAACCTAAAAAACGACCATCAGCCGAAAAGCTCTGTGAAACTTTTATGAAATGGCAAAAAGACGGAAATATTTTGATAGAATTGAATGACTCCATTTTAAAACTTGAAAATATTGAACAATCATACGCAGACACGTTTAGTAAAGGAAGTAAATTTATTCCGTATAGCGAGTCTCCATATAGCGAGTCTCCATATAGCGAGTCTCCGTATAGTAAGTCTTCGTATAGCGAATCAATTTCGTATATTGATGACGAATCAGAAAATTTGACAATCCCAGATTTTTCTGTTTAAATACGCATACGTTTTCATTAAGTCGCTTAATTCAGCCGGCACTGAGATAGTCTTTGTCAGAGGCGATAATTTTCTGCTGCGATTAAGACCCAATTCTGCGTGTGACTAAAAGAAATTATGTGTTGGGCTGCTGTTTTTTTGACAAATTTTGCAAAATTACAGGACAATATAGTTTTTACGATAGTTAGTGTTGATTGTGGTTTAATTTGCTTAAAAATATAAATATCAAATGTGTTAATAACCACATTTTACTTATTAGAAAACTTATAAAAGACTAATAAAATTTTGTTTGTGTATTTAAATGCATATATTTTTTAATTAGCAATCGTATATTAAATTTTGGTATAGTTGATCAATCCCAATAAGATCAAAATATAAAAAGTTGGTCCATATTCAGTTAGCCTTATCACCAGACAACATAGAATTCAACATAAAACTGACTTGATTTAAATTTAAAACTTAATTGCATTAACTAGTTCTATACAAGTTAAAAAAAAAAAAAAACAGATGTTAGTAAATAGTACTGTACTATTATACAATATGTACGGACGTACAAAAATTGAGCAAAATTTTGATACAGTAGTACATACGGTTAACATAGGTTTAGAAATCAATTTTAATATCCATTTGGCACAAGGATGTGACGAATCATTGGGCGTGGCTAATAAGCATTATTTAATACATTATTTAGCTAATGCTTACTTTCCACACCGATGATTCGTCACATCCTCATGCCAAATGAAAGAGACCTAATCCTTTATTAGTAAACCCTTTTTTGTTTTAGGGCTAGCGTTATAATATGGTTATATGTTAGAGTATATTACGTAGTAAAATTGTAATTTTGATCATGCAATGTTATACCTGATCTTGAAACCTATTGGTTTGTGCCACAAAGTATCACATGACCGTAACTTTTTGGTGGCGATACTGAGTAGTATACCCTGATCACTATATCAAGATCACAGAGTATAAATCATTTATACCCTTGCCCAGGATATAACTATTACCTACGTCCTGTCAAAATTATGAAGTGACTATATGGTATTATTAGTAGTGTCTTGGTTTAATTCTATTAGAGTAACGGACTTGGTTCGTTTCCAGTCTGTAAAGACAATGAATCGGTCAACTTTAGCTGTGAGTAGAGTTAAGCCACTCATATACTATATGTTGCATTATGAAATTTACAAAAAATTATATTTATATATAGCAAATTATCATCGTTATATACTTTACAAGACAATAAAAATACAAAAATAATTATATATAGTAACCTGCTAAGTCATTATAAGTTATTAATTCAAGAAAAAAAAACGCCAGATGATATCAATTGTTTCGATTAGTTAATAGGGATAATAGTGATAATAAATATCGATATATAATTTCTCTATAAATATTATTTTGAAGCTGATCTAATCAATATCTCAATTTCAAAATTGAAGATTTAAATTTAACAAATTTAAAGATTTAGAATTTTTGATTGTGAAATTGAAGGCATTGAATAGCCTCCATAATTAATTCGATATAACTTATTATATTGAAGCTTATTATAATATTGATTATGAAGTTTTGATCTACTTTGATTTCTACTTGCTCTCTATATAATAAATTTAAAAAATCATCAGTAATTACTATGATTTCAGATAATAAGAATTTCTAAAGGAAAACTTGCCTCAACCATAATTATCCTTGGTACTAAAGCTGCAAACATTAGTGGATGCATGGTATTTGAAAGTTAGGCCGATTATTTGTTATTGAGTCGGAATTTTTGTAAGTGAATATAAAATGTGTTGAAATTCAATAATTGTCTTTTGGCATAATTCTCTTTAAATAATCATTTACATCAATCATGAATAAAATTGTCCGAATTAAGTTCTATTCAATTTTTTTTATAATAATATTCGATTTACATTATTCGATTAATTTGTATTCTTTTAGATAGTCTATCATTTATATGAAAAAAGGTTCTTATAAGTTGCATGCATCTAAATAAAAATCTTATTGGAAGTAAGGTCTACTTTTATAAGCTGTCTAAGTAAATCCTGATAATGTTTGCTGTCAATTTGGGACACCCTACTTAGATTTATCTTTGTGCTAATTTTTTTCTTTTTTTCTTATACGAATTAGTTTTCAACTGCATATATAGTAATGATTCGACACTAGTCCCCACATACATTGCTATATAGGGGCCTAAACTATTAATTATCATGTGCCCATCAAATTTTACTGAACATATATAAGCATCAAGAAAACTTATTTACAAAAATCGTCAGGTTTTCATTTGACGATACTCATTAATTTTTAACTACGGTGGGAATTGTACCCGTTGAGAAAATATCTACCGGATATTACCAAAATATCCAGCTACCCGGGTAAACGATACATTTCAAATAGCATAATAATTTGTATGACCCAAAAAAGGGAAATTGGTCAGTCGGAAATGTAAATCGTGATATATCGGATCAGCCTAATGTGTGGCAAAAATTTTAACCTCTAACGCTAACGTCATTAAATTTCTATTAATAATGCAGCAATTTAATAATAATTTTAACCAAATATGTTTACGTACTACGTGCGCAATTTGCTAAAAATGACAAATGTCAATAGAATTTTGTACAGCTTAATCATTATTTGTGCAACGGAGTTGATCACGATTTCCAATGATTTCTAAATATCGGTATAACTTGAGGTAAAACTATCCATTTATATCCTTTTAAGCGATTCAAGTTCGTGAAAAACTCTTGTGCGCTGTATTTATTTCTTGATTTGACGTGACAACTACTTTGTTTATTATTATCCGAAAACTCATCATCCCGATATTTTTTGAAATATATATTTTTTAGCACTCGTATTTTATTTTTCTCATCACGAATGCAAATATTTTTTCAATAAATTCATTAAAATTTACCAAAAATTTCCGGGCCTTTAGAGCCTTATATAAAACCTCATTCACTTCAGTCTTTAGAATGAAAATTGGATTTTTTTTTCATAAATTTAAATAATGGTAAAATCCCATCGAATATAATGTTTTTTAAGACTATACGTAGATAAAAAAAATTTGATCTGAACAATTAAATAACTATTATTAAAGTAAATAAAACCAATTCAAGATGGCAGACGTCTGCTGTAATTGGATAGATTTTTGTGGAACCCTGGCCCCGTTGATTTTTTGCGCCATCTCTACACCCCCTCCTAAAAAGTTGGCATTATTCAGAAAGAGTCGCTGTAGGTATAAAAACAGGATAAAGACTAATACACTTTCAATGCGATATTTTTGACCTGTTTTTTTATACCTATAGCAATAGTTTTTCAAGTATTTTTTGAATATCGCCAATAAAAGTCAAGCGAACTTTTTATAGGAATGAAATTGGTATCGAGTAACCAATCGATAAGATGATTTCCCGTGATTATTAGCCAACGAAATTACAAGAATTTATCATTTTAATCAGTTTATAAATATACTGAAGAACGAAATATACTGAAGAACGAAATAAACTCAATACAAATAAGCTTACAAATTAATAAACACAAGCAAAGAATTTATTGCATATGTTTAAAGAATAGATAGACACGTAAGTGAAGTTAATGTGATATTTATTACTAATAAACCCGAACTTATTAAAAAATCTATAAGTCCAAACTTTAAATTTACAGTTGATAAACCTAAAGAAACAACGAATTTAAACATTAAATTCGGACCTTTGGCTACTAAAAAGCTTGTACATATTCAACTTAAACATTTAGTAATAAAGTTCATTTGAATCTAACGAAATAAAATAGCTTAAGCGAACGAAACATTTCCAGTTACCTTATTCTACAGTATAGCCAATCAAACGAATGTTTGACCATGACTTGACGACTGACGTGACAGAGTTTCGGAATAGTCTACTTTACTTCGAGACTATCAAACAATCGAACTCAAACAATCGAACTCAAATAATCGAACTCAAACTATAACCACAACAACCCTCACTACTTCGGGATTGTCGGAACAATTCTTTTATGACACTTGTATTTGTCTTGTATAAGGACTTTATAAGAAATAAACCTATTTTGATTCTCTTTGAGGTTGCGGTTTCAAGCGTCTAAAGATGCATACATCTAAGATTAATAGCATAAATTTAAAGACTAATTTCAGTCTCAGTCGCAATTTCGACAAAGAACCAACTTCAAGCACGATAGTACAACGGTGATCGAAGATTTGGTGTCTTATTACATGATTATACATTACATTAACGTTAAGGTTATCAAATGTCTAAAATCAGTAATGTATTTGGTTCGAAATAAAAGATCCATAAATTCTATTTTTTTTTGTATATTAGCGCGATTCAGAAATTCTTATGTTATTTTTCCGATTTATCGTTATAATTCAATGTAGTAAAAATACTACTTGAAAACCCCTGTTTATTTTTCAAATGCGTTACTTAAGCCACTCCAAATTGATTCTCCGTTTAACATAACATTAAATAGTTCATAAGAATTGGTGGGAAGATATAAAAAAACACAATCTAAAAAATACAGCAATTCCATTGGATGTAAAATATAAAATACAAATAACTCTCAATATAAGAACACTTTTATAAGATTTACAAGTCTCAATGGAGAATTTTATAATAAAAAGCATTCGATATAAGAAAATCTCGATATAAAAAAGATTTTGACTGGACCTGGTAACTTTCTTATATTAAGAATCACTTGTATACGTTGTAAGTGGAAACGGAATTTAGGTGATTCGGAATTTTTATATAAAACCAGCATTTTGAGATTGAATTTATGATATGAAACCCCTTACCATATCCTAATTTAACTAGGGAATTTCAAATCCACTTAAATTCAGTTTCCACTTATAACATATATAAAAAGTCAATACTGAATTCGATCGGTTAACGTGATGTGTATTTTTTTTATAAAATTTTGAAAGCGAAGAATTCAATTGGTCTGGTCTTATTTGTTAATTTTGAGACCTCTATTATTAAAAAAGATTCTTATTTCATTTTTTGATT